ATTGTATATATATGTACCACATCTTCTTTATCCATTCATCCATCGATGGGCATTTGGGCTCTTTCCATACTTTGGCTATTGTTGGTAGTGCTGCTATAAACATGGGGGTGCATGTGTCCCTTCGAAACAGCACCCCTGTATCCCGTGGATAAATGCCTCGTAGTGCAATTGCTGGGTCGTAGGGTAGTTCTATTTTTAGTTTTTTGAGGAACCTCCATACTGTTTTCCAGAGTGGCTGCACCAGCTTGCATTCCCATTCCTTCCTTTATTCTGTATATAATGTGTCCTTTTATCTCTGGCAGCTTTTAAGATTTTCTCTTTCCCCATTTTGAACAATTTAATTCTGTGTGGTATGGTGTAGTTTCTTCATGTTTCTTTGTGCGGGGTTAGGTAAGTATCTTGCATTTGTGAGTTAATCATTTTTATGAATTTTGGAAAAAATCTGATTATTTCTACGACTGTATTTTCTGTTCCCTTTGCTTTCTCTTCCCCTTTGGCAAGTCCAATTATACATGTATTAGGTCTGTTTGAAGTTGCCCTCCTGCTCATGAATGCTCTGCTCATTTCAAAATACCCCTTTTCTCTTTGTATTTCATTTTAGAAAATTTCTATTCCTGTTTCTTCAAGTTTTTTCCGTGGGTTCTAATCTGACAGTAATCCCATCCAGTGTCGTTTTCATCTCTAGTGGATCTTTTCATATGTTCTGGGTGTCTATTTTTGAACCAGATGGCAGGCAGTTATAATAACATGCTGGTTCTGGGTTGATTTAAATTGATTAATTATTTTCCTCATTAAGGATTGTGTTTTCTGCTGCTGCTCATGCTTGTTTACTTTTGTTTGAAGGCCAGACTTGGTGAAATTTACCTTGTTGGGCCCAGGGTTCTTTTGTATCTTTTTTTTTTTTTTTTTTTTTTACTTAAAAAAATTTTTTTTAATGTTTTAAGGGGGGGCGGACAGAGAAAGGGGGAGACACAGAATCCTAAGCAGGCTCCAGGCTCTGAGCTGTCAGCATAGAGCCTGAGGTGGGGCTCGAACTCATGAATGGTGAGATCATGACCTGAGCTGAAATCGGACGCTTAACTGACTCAGCCACCCAGGCACCCCTCTTTTGTATTTCTACAAATCTTCAGCTTTGTTCAGGAACACCATCAAGGTACTTGGAAACAGTTTGATTATCTCAAGTCTTGCTTTTCAGGTGGGTGGTTCTTTCCCTGGCTCTGGTACTTTCCTCACACAGAGTACTCCCTTGAGTACTTGAGGAGGGCCCTCTTTAGGTCTCTTGAGTTCTCAAGTCTCTGTGCTGCTGTCTCTTCCCTAAGACTCTGTCCTGTGATCTCTAGCTGCCTAGGCCTTTGTGGACTTTGGGGTTCATCCCTTCAACTCATGAAGTCCTCTGGGCTCTACATGGGTTCCCCCTCCTTATTTCATGGCCTGCAGACTCTCTCACTGCAGTAGACAGGGCAACTGAAGGACGCACCTGATTTGTTTCCTGTCTCTCATGAGTCGCTCCCCTTTGTTACCCCATGTCCTTTGTTTCTTGTGTTCTGCCCATTTTTTGGTTGTTTCAAGTGGGAGGGTAAATCTGGTTCCTGTTACTCCTTCTCCAGAAGCAGAAGTCTCAGGCTTTGCATATTCAAGGAAGAAAAGAAAGAAGGGTACTATGGTTGGAGTATAGGGAACAAGGATTAGGTAAGACTGGCTTGGATGGTTGTTGCACCCTAGGAAGTATTGGAAGTTTAAGTTCTCTGTGTTAGAACCCCAGGTACAACTTTGGGCAGGAGCTATTGTAGTGTCTTCTCTCCTGCCATCTTCTGTGTACCAGAGTTCTTTCAGAAACTTTAAGCCTGACCCTTAGCCCTTCTTCACGTGTGGGAATCTTGGACTCTGATCTCTAAACCTGGTTCAGGGGATCCCTTAACTCAGTCTCTGTTTTCCTTCCAGGCTATATTTCCTAGAATCAGTGCCATCCCACCCCTCTCCCCACTGACACAATCCTTTCTTCTCGTGGGTCTCCATGACCTGCAGAGGCGGCCTAGGCATTGTTTTTCCTCTGGGTGTCTTGGAATCTCTTCCGGGAGCTGGGTGGAGGTGCTGCTCATGTTCTTTTTGCTTCCTCTTCTGGAAACCCTTTTATCCCTTCCTTTTTGGGCCTGGTCCCATTGTCCTCTGCAGAAGTGAGACACCTCAGCTGTTCACTGTGTTACCAGAGAAGAGAACGGCCACTGTTGGGGGAGCCATGATGGGATCAACCCATATCTATGACATGTCCACAGTGAGTATTCTTTTGGGGGCTGGAAAAGGGGGCGGAAACTAAGTCTTCTAAGCCTCTCTGTAGATGACAAGACTCTGATCCCTTTTCTAGGTTATGAGCCGGAAGGGCCCAGCTCCTGAGCTGCAAGGTGTGGAAGTGGCCCTGGCACCTGAAGAGTTGGAGCTGGATCCCATGGCCATGACCCAGAAGTATGAGGAGCATGTGCGGGAGCAGCAGGCACAGGTGGAGAAGGAAGACTTCAGTGACATGGTGGCTGAGCATGCTGCCAAACAGAAGGTAGGAGGTCACAGGGGAACCCGGCTGGGTGTGAGCCAGGAACTAGGTACCAGGGACTCCTTTTTTAGTGGAGTGGTGTCCTCTCTGTCTGCTGCCCTGAGCTTCCCTGGTGCTGGAAACCTTAGAAATCCTCTGGTGGGCTGCCCTCTTTAAGGATGATGAAACTAAGGCACAGGGAGGGGAGCTCATCCAAGTCTGAGAATCCAGTTTTAGCACTTTTTTCCACAGATCTGTGTGGCTGAGTCAGGCTGCCCACCCTTGTCTTGGGGATCAGTGGGTTGTTTCACTTGTTGTAACCTGTTTCTCTTTCTCTCCTCCAGCAAAAGAAACGGAAAGCTCAGCCCCAGGACAGCCGCGGGGGCAGCAAGAAATATAAGGAGTTCAAATTTTAGGTCCCCCTCGCATACCTGGTCCTCCTTTCAGCTCTTTGTCTGGATGCTTGGGCTTCACACATGGTCCCCGAGAGCCAGCTCTCCCACAGTTCCCAAGGGCTTGTCATTTCATGTTCTTATTTTAGATCTGTTTTGTAAATAAAGCTGTTTCCCAAGGAAAGAGATGCATATGTAACACTTCTGATCCTCCTTCGTTTTTTTTATGTGGTTTTTTTTTTTTAAGTTTATTTATTTATTTTGAGAACAAGAGAGAGGGAGGGGCAGAGAGAGAAACTCTCAGGCAGGCTCTGCACTGTCAGCTCGGAGCCTGACATGGGGCTTGAACGGTGAGGTCACGACCTGAGCTGAAATCAAGAGTCAGATGCTTAACTGACTGAGCCACCCAGGTGTCTTTTAATCCCCTCGGGCAAAAGGACTAAAAAATGGGGGCAAAAGGACTAAAACATTGGCTTTTTCTGCAACCTCGGGGCTGCCCCAGTGCCAGGGGCATGCACCTGGGTCAGATGTTGCAGTTGAGACTGGTGATAACTCCAAAGCCATGCTGAAATTGTTTCACCACTACTTGCCTTTGTAGGAAGGCTCTGGGGCAAGTATCTCTAGGTCTGGTTTGACCTTACTACTTTGTCCTTGGGGACTAAAAATAGCCAGCTTAGCACCCTGGCTGGGCTGAGGAAGTGCAGTGGGCTTGGGAAGTAGGCCAGGTCAGGCCTTCCTAATAGACCTGTGGCCAAAAGAGTCCCAAGTCCTTACCTGGGAGGGAACACAGCCCCAAATCTAGATTGTCTGGAGTCCCCGTGAATCCCTGGGTGGTTTCAGCCACCCAGCCTCTAAGTTTGGTAGGGGGAGGGAGGGGGAGCTTGCTTTCTCCAGGTTCTAGTCTTCTGGTCTTCAGAAGTCTTCCCAACAGGCTAGACTAGGTTGGACTTAAGGGGCCCAACGGGCATTTGCCGGGTGCTGGGAGAGAAGTTCTGCTGTGGTGCTACTGGTGTTGCTTTGCTGGAAGTGCAGCAACTGAGATGTCGATGTCAGGAGACTTCAAGATGGTTTCTGGAGGTGATGGATGTGGGTGGTAGTGTGGGAGATCCCATGTTGGACGTGGCAATCGGGGTAGGCCTTGGGGGAGTAGGATTTTAGAAATTAAACGGTGAAGCAGAGAAAACGTTACAGGTGGAAGCAATTGAGGGCAGGGATGGGGGGCTTGGGACTCTATAATGCTTCATGGGGGGAAGGGTTGCTCCAGGTGGGCCAGGGCTTAGGTTCGTAATTCACCCTTGCCAGGGCCTTTTGGACTCCAGGTCCCTGAGCCCCCTGCCTTCCATGGAGAGCAGCAGGGATGGAAACTTCACGGCCCACAGACGCACCGGGCCGACGGTGGAGTCGCCACCCGCTCCCTTTGTAGGTTGTGAAGAAACCCCGGGGCGGCAGAGCAGGGGCCAAGCAGGATGCCGCGATGCGGGCTTCGGCCTCTCGGTAGGCTCCGGGGACCCAAGGGGCCCGAGGCGCGCTCCCGCGTCAGCCCCCCCCAACCCCCCCCCGCCAACCCCAGCCGGGGCCGCGCCCCGGAAAAGCGGAGTTTCCGCTGGCCTGGCTGTTGCTGCAGAGAGCACGACGGGGGAGGGGAGGACCGGGCCGGCTGGCTGCCGCTCGCACTGCGGATTTGAGGGGAGGGTCTGGCCGAGCCAGCCGGGGTCGAGGCCTCCTCTCCAGGGAAGCTAGAAGAGCGCGCCCACAGGCTCGCCTGGGGCGCGAGCGCGAGCGCGAACCCCGCCCCTTGGCGCTGGGTGGGGCCGGCGCGAGCCAGAGCTCCCCGCCCCCCCGGACACGCCCACCCAGTGTCTCGGCGGCGCGAGCCGCAACAGGCAGCGGCGGGCGAGCGCGAGGACCGCGCGCCGAGAGGCCCCGCGCGTGCGTGCAGCCTCTCGCTCGCTCGCTCGCGCGCTCGGGCGGGCGGGCTGAGGAGACGAGTCGAGCCCTCGCCGCCACCGTGGGAGAAGCCTGGGCGTCCTCTCTGCGTCGCCCCGATCCCCGTTATCCCCGCGCCCCCCACCCCCGGCCGGGCCATGGCGGAACGCGGAGGGGCGGGCGGTGGTCCTGGAGGCGCCGGGGGCGGCAGCGGCCAGAGGGGCTCTGGGGTCGCCCAGTCCCCGCAACAGCAGCAGCCGCCGCAGCAGCCGCCGCCTCAGCAGCCGACGCCCCCCAAGCTGGCCCAGGCCACCTCGTCGTCCTCGTCTACCTCGGCGGCGGCCGCCTCCTCCTCGTCCTCGTCCACCTCCACCTCCATGGCCGTCGCGGTGGCCTCCGGGTCCGCGCCTCCCGGCGGCCCGGGGCCAGGCCGCACCCCCGCCCCCGTGCAGATGAACCTGTACGCCACCTGGGAGGTGGACCGGAGCTCGTCCAGCTGCGTGCCCAGGTGAGCGGCGGGCGGGGGGACCGGGCCCTCGGGGCCGCAGGGCCAGGTCTGTGACAGGCCCCCGCCTTCTCATTCCTCTCCGTCCCAGCGCCCAAGGGAGCGCCCCCCTCCCTGGATTCCCCCTGGCTGCCCGGCCTGTTTCTAGGCGGGCCTCCCGGGACTCCTCTTGCGGGGACCCCGCCCTCTCCTGGCAGCCCCACCTTCTGCCTCGGGCCGGGACCACCCTCTTCCTCTCCCCCTTTTGGGGCCTCCTGGACTCTCAGCCCTAGGCCTTCTCTCGTTGATCTGACCGAATCCGGCCTTCCTGACGGTCAGTTTCCCTGCGAATGTCACGGACTCTTTTCCCTGCCTCGTTGGCGCCCGTGGGCTGTACATATGTTACATAGATGTCCTTTGATATTATTATTTCCCAATATACTCAGCGTGTGCCGAAGTCTGTTGTCACCTTCTGCCAGATAAAGCCCATATAGTAACCCTGGAGGCTTCTAGTTGGTCTTCAGTACACACACACGTTCATTTGTGCTTCAGATTACAACATTCTGCCCCGGCCTCTGTGCGCTTGTAAAAGCCCTATTTAGTGTGTCTTTAATTGTATTTTTCACCCCCTTCCCCCTCCCCAGTAGCTAGTCACAAATTCTCTTAGCCTTGCAGGGCTACATAAAATTACTGCCTTGTTCCTAAATCCAATCCATTCCTCTGCCTGTTGGAACCATCTGGGGACTTTCCTTTCATTGGTAAAATATGCCTGAGTTTGTGATGTTTTCTGTTTCTGTATTGGCAAAGCAGTCTTTTTCCAACTCTTTGGGGACAGTGTGCGGTGTCTTACAGTTTAGCCCTTGAGCAGACACTGTGGAGCTGGTTTCGCCTAGGAAGCCCAGAAAAGTGCCTGGAGGTGATCTTTTTGTCACCTCTAAACTGAGTTGATTCTGTTGTCTTGGAGTTTTGGACCCACTCCTTATTCTTTTAGCCCAGCCTTGGGTAGGTGGACGTGTCAGTAGGGGTTAAGAAGCATTGTCTGGTTCCAGCCTCAACTCTATTTATTTCCCTCTCTCTTTATTTTGAATCATTTCATGCATACAAAATTATACACACACACACAAATATATCTCCTGGTTAGGGCATTTTACAAAATGATGAAAAGTACATTTCTATACTTGACTCAGTTTAAGAAACAGAACATTATAACTTATGTTGAATGAGGCCCTCAGGATGCCCCTTCCTGACCACATGCCCTACTT